AGATATGACTAAAATGATACTAAATCTCTAAGAGGAAAAAACTGCTAAAAAATTTGGGCAAAATTTATTGTTTTTAGCAAAGTGAGTAAAATGCATGTGAATAAAAGGGAAAAAAAGAGGAAAATGTTATAGTTCCAAAACATGTCTGGAGGCAGCCACAGTCAGTGAAAATTATATATCAAGAACATGCCACCTTCGATATATCGAAAACTCTAAACTATCCAATGCTTCGATATATCGAAAGAATGCCATTTCTTCGATATATTAAAAGAATGCCATTTCTTCGATATATCGAAAGAATGCCATTTCTTCGATATATCGAAAGAATGCCATTTCTTCGATATATCGAAAGAATGCCATTTCTTCGACATATCGAAAGATTGCAATTTCCTCAATATATCAAAAGATTGCAATTTCCTCGATATATCGAAAACTAAACTATCCATGGCTTCTATATATTGAAAGAATGCCATTTCTTCGATATATCAAAAGATTGCCATTTTTTCAATATGTCGAAAACTCTAAACTATCCATGGTTTCGATACATCAAAGAAATGGCATTGTTTCAATATATCGAAGAAATGACATTCTGTCAAATACAATATGTGAAAAACCAAAAGGATGTCATGTCTTGCCAAAGGATGTCATGTCTTGCCAAAACAAGCCATGTTTTAAATATTGATAGTAAAACAACAAAGTAGGTCACAATTCAGCTCAATGGGTTAGCAATATGGTATACACTCAAAATATAACACATTCTACGATAGGGTTGCATATTCTATTTAGCTATAATCAAAATAATCACATGTACAGTCAGGATCGCCAAGAGGGGGGGGAGGAAATTGCCCTGGACCCGCACCTTAATAGGGCCCAAACTTGAGAGCAAGAGCCTAAAAGTAGGTTCTATAAAGAGCATTTTCTAGTAGGTTCTATAGAGCCTAAAAGTAGGTTCTATAAAGAGCATTTTTGAAATTGAGGGCTACTTACAGTACCTTCACATGCAGTCTAGCTAAGGTTTAGTTGGGTCTAGCTTAAAAATAATGTTATGGGGCCCCCAGGGAAGGTTTGCCTCGGGCCCCGCAAATTCTCTAGGCGGCCCTGTGTACAGTATAGCTAGCTATATTAATTATACATATGCAACAACAACATATGTATATATCTATATTGACTAAAATCACTTCATTAGACAGTACGGTATGGTAACAACTAAATTCAGTTTTAAGAGTTTCTTCTGCCCTATAACTATTGCTTTAGGCAACTTTCTCACGACAATGCATTTGGACCCAGTAACATGCAGACCAGTGCAGATAAACCAGTCTCCTTTATCAGGTGGTCTGAACCCTCTATGGTTAAACCCGGTTCTTTTGTGTTTGATGTACTACAGCATGCAAAAGTGATATATCATTTGGTTTACATCAATCTAAAAGAATGGAAAAAACTATAAGAACAGACACCATTAAAATTATTACAGTTTTTACTGCCAATCAAAGAACACAAGAGAATCAGATATATAATGGCATACCGTGAACCTCTGAATATATGCCCTGGCCTTATATTCGTTCGTAAAGATTTTTTGATGGGGACTTATGTGTACACAGTGCCCTTATATACTTTTATTGTATCTGTAAACTATGTGAAGTGTGAACCATTGCCTCAGTCAAAACACGTTCATGACTAGTGGCAGACAATAGACATGTTGCAAAATATATGAACATTTAAACCTTTCTTGCTTGAATTATTAAATAGACAGATGGGGAAATAGTCTGGTCAACCCATTGAGCGCCAGCACTCGTCAAGTATAAAATTATCAAGCTGGCGTCAGACAGAGTAAAATAATCTAGAAAAGTTTACGGAATATTGAAGAGTAGAAGTGATGATCATTCCTATGTTGTACAGTTAAAACACAGACGAGAAGGGATATGTATTTTAAAAATGTAAACAATATTCTTGGGACCGCTTCAAACGTTCAAACAAATCTACCAACCTGAAATTCGCACTATCTTGACCTCGATCTTGACCATGATCAAATGAGTGAAATGACCTTGGCAGCAAATATTCAACGCTCTTCCCTTCGATTTGATCTTTCGACAGAATCGACTGTTTAGCTTTAATTTTGTTAAATATTTAATATTCATGTTCATTATTCATATCCAAGCACTGTCCTCACAAAGATTTACCATAGTATAGCTATTATAACGCTAATTATACGCCGTTGAATGCGATTCGAATTCAAAATTTATAGATATTGTGCGCCAAAGAACGAACAATAACCAACTGTTTATGAAAAGAAACGCGACGATGTCCATAAAAGGACATAATCGAAACAGCTCGCTTCGAGTTCGGTAAAAAATAGTACCAAAATGCTTTGTGCACCACGACTCTTGCCTGTCGCCATATTTCATATTTGCGAATATTCATATCGTTTGCTTCTTTATCGCCGGAATATTTGAATATTTATTACTTCTCAACGCAGGAATACTTAAAGATTAAATCAAGTAAGGTATGTACTACATCAATTGCTATTTATTTCCCCAGAAGAGAGAGTACAATCTCATTTATCTCAGCACTATATTGCTATATTCTAACGGAATTTTATTTTGCTGGTTTTAATACAACTCGTGTATCATATAATAATACATGAGAAATATGTTGTCTTGAGTTAACAATTTCACAGGATTTTGGCCTCTCTGCAACTGATTTATTTCTTACAAAGTCAAAAAATTTTCATCGCTTGACAGCTTTCTGATAGTGTAATATTTTAATATAACAGAATTTGTTTGGATATCTCACTTGATTGAAGTCATTGAACTTATTAAATGTCGAATTATGAATGTTGAAGGAGTTTGTACATGGTCTAAGAATAGGCTTTTCACATCCAAACATTGCCAATGGATGAGTGGGGTGAGGGCACTGAGGGGTGATCCCTACATGCAGCTTCAAATATGAAATATGAAATATGTACTGTACCTTAGGTTACCTTGGTTATTTTAACCTCATTCGTATGGGTATGGCCTGTTCAAATGAGCCATAATAATATTAGCATAGAAAATTACATTTTGTTCATGTAATGAAGCACAAACTATTAGGGACGACATCCATACTCACATTGCCACGCAAAACGTCATTTTGACGTTTTCGTTTTGACCCACCCACCCAGTGCTGAAAACGTCAAGTGTATATTGTTATTAAAAATAAAGGGAGACCTCAAAGGTGTTACCAGTGAGTAATAATGCTTCAAATCAATGCCTATGTAGTTTTAAATAATGATATAAATTATTAAATATTTTTCGTATTTTCGCGAAAAGTGCATGGCAACGTGTTTTAAAGCCTTTGGTACAGTGAAATACACAAATACTTAATAGATAATTACTGAGGCCAACGGCATTATTCGATATATTGCAGCCAGCTGAGGCCGAAGGCCGAAGCTGGCTGCAATATATCGAATAATGCCGTTTGGCCGAAGTAATTATCTATTATAATTACTGACCCGAATCAAAAGTAATTATTTTCGGCTGGAAGACTACGTTGCTGCTTGTTGGGACCGTATGAGAATGAATCTATCCAACGTTACACTAGACATTTGTGAGGACATGCATGTAATGCATCGTGATAGAACAGATTTCAGTTTAATTAATCGCCCTAAATTAAAATCTCCACAAGCGGAGGTCAATTATAGTGTTCTAGTTTACATATTATCATTAGTGATAAGGTTAATTCAAAGAGCGTATTAAACTGGATAAACACGGGAATAGAACTTATGGTGTGTTCTGCACATGCGTATATCTAGGATAAAATCCCACAAGCGCAGACGAAACTATTTCTCTATAAAGTTGAGCTGAAAGGACTCACAGCACAAAATAAATAATAAGACCAGAAGTCTCACTCGATGTCGGAATCTTTGATGTTGATGTCCCCGCGCATGTCGGCTCGCGCATCTTGGCCGCGTCTCGTTTCCAGTGTCCTAAACAAGTGTAATTTGACAAATTTACATGTAAACATTAAGGAGTGAGGAAGTTAAAACGATACCAATCGGGTTTTAGAGCTTTGGTGACCATTTTAAAAGAATATATGATAAATTCAAAGGTAAGTCTATCGTATTGCATTGTCTTAAATGAATTCTCAGCTAAAATACGGCAATAAATGAATCATAAATTTAGTTAAATTCACTGTTGACAACGAGGTTGACAGATCCAATGATTTTTTTCCTTGAATAGCTTTACCATAGTTATTTTACCTTAAAATGTGGCTACCGAGGATATCTCTAAGAGATTTTACACAGATTATTTGCACAATCTCACGATTTAATCATGCTGATAACATGAAAATCCTATCTCCACATCAATAGTTCACCAGTTCAACACTTATAAGTTATAAATTCAATATATTTTTGAACCAGTCCATATATTATTATACACAATGTAGTATAGTTAATTTGACCATTGAGAAGTAAGGGTGTATTACATTACACAGACACTGCTGAATTTTAGGTTACATGCCATTGGATTGATATATAAAAACATTTGTAAAAACACACATTATCTTGTTGATAGAATAGTTATTTGCAGTATACTAACTGTTGGCATACTCTATTTCAGGCCTATCAATTGTTCTTGTCACTGGCAATCTTTGAAATACAATCTTGCTCTGTGGCCTTTACTGACAAGTTGGCTTTTACTACATATGTGGCACTGACACCTCTTTAATTAATGCACCAGTCAATGTAAACCCCCCAACCGGGGAGGGGCAGGGTTTTGACTTGGAGGGGTAGTAAAAGAGCAAAATTGTCCCGCCCCCAGGGACATCAATGTCCCCTGCATGTCTCTCAACCACGGGAATATAGTTTTGTATAATCATAGATCAGCAATAGAAAATCAAATTCATTTATGTTGTTGTATTTAAACTTTTCTTGTCAAGAAAACTAAAACAGCAACACAGGATATATACATATATTAACCACCGTCCAAGTCTCCCATCATTGTGGCAAATTTATAATCAAAACGGACCACTTTCCCCACTAAACCTCCCGCCCCTCCCCGGTTGGGGGCAGGGTTTACATTGACTGGTGCATAACTAGATGATTGCATGAAAGTTGATTTACGTATAATTAGTTTATGAATAAACTCGCACTTTCATTGTAGAGGTTAAGATTTGAGTTCTACTAGCACTATCTCTGACTGCCTTAGTATGCATCTGATTGGTTATAATGGTTGATCGAATATATCAAATGCATTTGATGGTCCCTTAATGGTAATGGTAGTCAAATCTGAACCTCTATAATGTCAATGAAGAATGCATACTGGAAAAGTATCAACTTAAATTTTAATTGTCAAATTATGTTGTGGAAAGTAAATAAATCGAACAATTCTGTTTGTTTCAACTAACTAGTTCACTGTCACTTTGGTTTTCAAATCAAAGAATCTTTAGCCTGGTTGAGCTTTTGAAAAAGTAGCTACTTTAGTGAACGCAAGATTATTTTACTCTGTCTAACACCAGACAATTTCACTCGTCAAGGGGAAAGTGCCGCCACTCAGTGAACTCAATCAGAGCTCAATGAGCAGCAGCACTCTCCCTCGATAAGTAAAATCATCTGGCATTAGATGAAGTGAAATAAACTAGTAAAGTAAGGTGCATTGGGGCACAATGCAGCTTACTGGGTTAACTGGAAAATATATTTATTTAAACAATGCACACCCTATACTTGTATTTCAATTCATAGCATGATTTGGTATGCTTATGTCCATTTGATCCAAGTACCAGATAGGAATGATATTTGAATCACACCTGTATTCATTGAACAAAGCTAATTTAAATGTACATTAATTGTACATGAATCATGTAGATGTAAAAACTAGAGCAAAAACACACCCACACAGCTTTGTTTTTTTATTTTTCTTGAGAAGGAATAACTGAGTTACAATGAGACCAGTATCAACAATTTCAAAAATGTATTGTACAAAAATATTACAAACATAAGACACTTTAAAGACAGAAAACACACAAAGTATGTCACTACAGAAACTGTATTCTGTGATATAGACGATATTGCTTTAAGGAAACTTGCAGCTTTTAAGGGCCTGTTTATATCGAAACTGGCTGGCCCGCTAAGTGAGACAGCCCGGTAAGTGAGATCTCACTGTCTACTTATTTTTATAGTAAAAATTATAATTAAAATTGTTTCTATGTACAAGCGGGAGGCCCTGTTGCAGAGACCAGGATGGAAATTTTTCCATATAAACAATCACAAGCAGGCTAGCCCAGTTGCCAGGATGAATGTTCAACGATACTGCCGCAAGCTATTTTTAACAACTGTCAAAACAATGTCAAAACAACAAAATTGTCCCGGTAAGCAGGATGAAATTTTCTCAAATAAACACAAGAGAAATCATCCTGCGTATCTACCTTAGATAGAATCTAGCACTTTTAATAAACATCCAATAATCAATATTCTCTTCTCTCTCTTTGTTTATACTGCTTAAATGTTGTTTTGTGCGTGACTCTTCCTTGGTTCATTAAAAAGTGACCATATGTTCATCCTGCGTATCTACCTGTCTCGCTAAGCGGGCCAGCCCGGCTTCCATACAAACAGGCCCTATAAACAGTCTCTGTCAGGCAATTACAATGTTCTATGTCCAAACTCTAAAGTATTATAAACAAGCAGGACAGACCACTTATTGCAAGTTGCTAGTATTAAAGTCATATCAACATGTGATATCGACATTACAGTGTATAAACTAAAGTAATTCAGCTTCTACACATGAAGCAACTTTAAACACTATCCTTACACTTTATCAATTCATTGAAGTTTGTCATTCTATTTGTAGTATTACATCACAAGACATATTCTATTTGTAGTATCAAGTCACATCAGGATTTTATAATCTAGCGTTTTTGGACCCAAGTGATCTAGAGTTCTATCTTGTTAAAACCTATCCAAGGAAAAACAAGAAAGGGATATTGAAGTAATGGTGTTTTTGAGCCAAATAAATTCGAATATCCACCAGTATAAAAGCAGTACTCCGTATATACTGGAGACAAAATGGCATCATAGCGAACACATTTTAATGATGCTCAAATTTATATTTAGTGCGCTATTTTCTTTAAAATATGACCCTGTTTGCTTTCTAAATACAACAAAATTACTGCTTTACCTTCTGTTCAAATAGTTCCACAGATAAATCGAAGTCACATTTCGTACTACTTGAAAAAAAGCTGTTTTTACTGTAGGAATGACAACTTCCCAATATAATTTTCTATTGTCAACATTGCATTACACTTGTTTAGCTCGCGCATGCGCAATAAAAAAGATGGGACATGTTTCCGCTTGAGTAAGACTTCTGGTATTATCTCTTCTGTGATGTAGCCGCCGTCCAGATTCATGGATGAATACATTAAACTCTCAACCGGTAAAACACGTTTGACAAGTTTTTGTTGTTGTGCGATGGGTAAATACTTGCCACGGCTGGTAAAATGCGAGTCCGTTGTACACTTCAAAAACAACATCACGCTCTAAATATAGTAACACGCTATAAATATATACCACAAATATTATAGCGGCTTTACAAAATATTGAATAAAATGTGAGACATTATACATTAAGATGACTTGAAAACCGCCTAGCGTTCAACAGAATAACTATATATGCAACGATTTTTGATCGGTTGAAATTTGTAGTGGCTGAAGTCGCGACGATCAAAAATTGCAATAATTGTCAAAATCAACAGTAATTGCAAATGTTATTATATTATTTGGAGACTTTGGGAATTGGAACTTAACGAAAACCTTTACACAATCTCCAACGTTTAAGTAACACAAATAAAGTTCGTAGACCGAATTAAAAAAAATTGATATTGTTCAGATAAATACAAAATTTAAAAAAGATACAACAGAAATTCAAATGCACAATTTGTAGCCGTAGGGTGAGGCACCGATTTCAAAATATTTTAGTTCTGGCAATAACGAGATCAAAACCGATACATAAATTTTTCATTTTATCAAAACCGATACATAAACTGGGTGTAGAATTAAAAAGTCGTTCGATTAAAACTGGACAGACAACAAATAAAGCAGTACTATGCCATGCTTGTTTACAGATGACAAACTACAGGGAATGAAGTCAAATTAGTGACTTCCCATCACGTGATCTTGGTGGATAATGTATGTATGCCCTCTTCGAAATCTCCAAAACACCAAAATTCTGCAACAAGACCTGGATAAGATTACCAACTGGTGTCATAATTGGAGGATGGATTTAAATCAAACCAAGTGTGTAGTCATGCATTTTTCCCAAATTCTTCGACCGACGATCACACAGTACACTCTATCAGGTACTCCAATCCAACAATCGTCCAGTCAAAAAGATCTTGGCATAATTACCACTAGCGATCTGAAATGGAACAAGCAGGTGCAAGAGATATCGACCAAAGCTAACAAAATGTTAGGTTTCGTCAAGCGAACAGCGTTCGATATTCGGCAGCGACAACTTCGTAAGGTTCTTTACTTGACTATGGTCCGTAGTCAGCTCGCTTATGGTAGTCAAGTGTGGGCAGCCCAGACGGTCAACAACATCATGAACGTTGAACGTGTGCAGCGCCGTGCCACTAAATTTATTTTGTCATTGCCATACCAAACAGCTAGACATCTCGTACAAGGAACGATTGATTACCATCGGCATCATCCCTATATGTTACTGGCATGAGTATTTGGATCTGGTGTATCTGTACAAGTGCATCATTTCTAACTCTGACAGAAACATCTCGATCAACACTCCTGCTCGAGAAACACGAAATACCAACGCAACCAATGGCATTTTACTCGAGGTAGCCAAGTACAAGACAGTGAGCTATCAGAGAAGCCAACAAAACTGTGGTCTTTTTTAAATTTTGTTTAATGAAACATTATAATAATCTCACTGAGGAAATTTACAATCCCGAAGATCCGAGAACATTTAAGTCTGTTTGTGTGAAGTGTCACACAACTCGTCCATTGAGCAGCTTGTCCAATCGATCTTGTTGCTAAATTTATTCATGTCTGTCTGTCTGTCTGTCTGT